TTAACAAATATGACAAGAAGAGTCGTAAAACGGGGCAAAACTCACTTAACAAATTTCTCAGCAACATAAATGTTGGACTCAATTGTGATCGTAAGTCGAGGGCGACCTGTAAAAGCCCCTGCCCTCACACTCCTTGTGGGCAGAAGCAGAGTAATGCATCCAGTGGTGGCAGAACCATCAGTATACAGTTGGTAAAACGTTTGGTAAGATTTGGTAAGTTTGGTCTGGTGGTTTTAAGATCTCAGGCTAGAAACCAGGAGGCTGTGAGTTCTAGTTCCCACTTAGGCAGGGAGGCCGGCTAGGTGACTTTGGGCCTGTCACTCTCAGATTAACTCACCTCACACGGTAGTTGTGGAGAAAATAGAGAGAGGAAGGAATATTCTCCAAAGCACTTGAGGGTAGAACAAAAAGCAATGGGTGGAAACTAATCAAGGAGAGAACTTAGAATTGAGGAGAAATTTCCTAAGTTAGAACAATTAATCAGTGGAACAGCTTGCCTCCAGAAGTTGTGAATGCCCCAAACACTTCTTAAGTCTTTAAGAAGATGTTGGATAGCCATTTGTCTGAAATGGTATAGGGTTTCCTGCCTAGGCAGGAGGTTGGACTAGAAGACCTCCAAGGTCCCTTCCAACTCTGCTATTGTGTTGTATTGTATTGTATTGTATATTAGGAATGTTCAACACCTTGAATTATTTGTAATACTTGACGTGTGACCACAATTGAGCCCAAAAATTTTCTTGCTAAGTAAGACAATTGTTAAGTGAGTTTTGCTCCATATTACGAGCTGATAAATAAATCACTGCAGTTGTTAGTAACACGTTGTTAAGTGAACCTGGCTTCCTTATTGCCTTTGCTTGTCAGAAACTCACAAAGGGGGATCCCATGACCCTGGGCCCCATGGCCATCATAAATACATACCAGTTGTCAAGCATGATCACACCTGCTGTTGGGGCCTAGAGGTGGAGCTCTCATCTCACAATCAGGAGGTTGTGGGTTCTATAGCAGGTAGAGGCAGCTGTAAGGTCTCCTGCTTGGGCAGGAGATGACTGCCACTAGATGACCTGCAAGGCCCATTCCAACTCTACTTATCTGTTAACGTGACTGTGGGGATTACCAACGTTGTAAGTGTGAAAAATGGTCATAATAAGTCACCATTTTCAAATGGTAAACAGTAGGGCCAATCCCAAGCCTTGATTAAATGAGCAATAATATGGTTGATTAAATTTGCGTGAGACTCCACTAGTTTACAACTAGAATAGATCAACTAAAGTTGGCTTTGTTTGAGATGTGAGCCAAGAAAAGAAACAATATCATGGGGAGATGGCATTAAAAAAGCAATTCCCGAGGCATGTTGGTGCCATGGTCAGGGAGATAGGAGATTGAGGCCTGTCTTAAATTACTGAGGTGGATATTATATAAAATCAATGCTCTATTAAGCAAAGAACCTTAATATTCAAAACAGATAATTTAATGTACAGTGAGAGGAAGGACATAATATGAAAACAGTGCCAAGGATGTGATGCAGAGTCATTTCACAGACATGCTGACTTTAATGATATCATAGAAGAGAGATTTGTTTTTCTTTCTAGAACGGCGGAGGCGAGAAGCAATTGCTGCAGCAACTTGTTTAACAGAAGCCCTCGTTGATCATCTAAATGTGGGGTAAGTAGTATTGAGAAGTAGGGAGTGATTGAAACTATATGAAATATCCATGAAATTACATGGCATGGATATTGGTATCCAAGGCATGATTGAAGATCAAACTGATATATCCATCAAAGCTCTTGTCTCACAATCAGAAGGTTGTGAGTTTGATCCTAAGTAGAGATGTAGGATCTCCTGCTTGGGCAGGGGGTTGGACTAGATGTCCTGCAAGGTCCCATCCAATCTTGTTACTCTTGAAAATGGGAATTTGAATATTTTGCCATCTGGCTCATGCCTCCTATTTAAAATTTGTATTGGCAAAATATAAGGTTTCTACACAAACTTTCAAAAAGATGCTTTGGTTTGAGGACTTTGAGTGAATCAGCTCTTTGAAATTGCATCAGGAAGTGATAGCTTCTCACTTCTAACAGCAAATGATTACTTCATTGAAGGCTGCTCTCTTTAGGAAGCTGCAATGAGTAGAGGCCACTTCTAGCTACTGCAAAAGTTTGTTGAGGCTGGAAAGCACTTTATGGAGGCAAATCAGTTCTTCATTTCAACAAAGAAAACTCATTTTGCATTCATGGAGCAAAGTTTTAACCAAGGGAAATTGAATGTGCCTTGGGCAGGCTTACTGAAAAATTAATTAATAACTGACTGGTATTTCTGGGGCAGGGGGAGAATCAAATTACAGAAGATGGAGGTTGCAGAAAAGGACACCCTTGTTTTACACCTTTAGGTTCCTGAATTGTTCCCTTATAAGGGAATAGTCAAGAGCCAGTAATGTGAAGGATGTAATCTCTGGACAGAGCAGTTCAATCTCCCTGCCTTGACTATAAACATAGCATACGCATATGACAAGCCCTTCAGCTTTATCTCACCAATTCCAAGAATAATACAGAACTTTCCTGAGAATGCCTGAATAGTGTAACGAGCTTTAAACATCACAGCTCTGTAGAAATAAATACTTAATTCAATTCTCGCCATTTGTTGCATGTTAACAAAAATAGCTTTGTAGAATTCACATGGCAATGCAAAAAAATGCAGATGGGAAACGACCTCTCTTTTATATGGATATCCTTTTCTATAACTATAATCAACTATAATCAAACTGTCTGTTTGATAGTTGTCTCCAGGAACCTCATCACAGTTGTCTTAGCCATGTGGACTGGATTTATTGCTTTAGCTTTGGCACCTTATGTTTCATGGATAACATTTTTCCTTGGTTTTAATACGTTGTGAGCTGCCCAGAGTTGCACATATAAATTTATTAAGTAAATAAGTCACAACATTACAATTTAAAACTCTTTCTATAGTTTAAGTATTGCAAATATTGCTTTTCTTGATCTCTTCTGTGTTACCCATGATTCATTTTTTGGTTACTCTGAAGTCTCTTGTTAAAATAGAGGCCCGGGGAGGGAGGGGGGATCACACCTGAATACTCCATTTCAGACATAAATTGATGCAACTTTTGACTATTAATTCTCTTCCAATAGATTTTAAATAATAGCATTATAAATAGGTTTTTAGCCTCAATATGACAGCAAAATCTTGGAAGAATAATATTCATGTGACATAAGAACATCTAAGGCTGGGTTGTCCAAGTTTAGCAACTTTGAAGACTTGTGGACTTCAACTCCCAGAATTCCCCAGCCAACCAATTCCGTCCACAAGTCTTAAAGTTGCCAAGATTGGACACCCCTGATCTAAGGCAAAAGTTGTATGTTTCAGCAAGGTCTGAAATACTAATTGGAAGGATGTGATTTCCTGTTAACACTTTGTGGCCTGTATCACACACTTCACCCTTTTACACAACAGTTATTTTGAAAGAAGATGGGACTGAAACTAGACCACCCTCTAGCCTGAAGTGTTTATTTACATTGGGAAGCAGAAGCTGCAACATTTTATAGCATGATTCCTGTCCTTGACAAGCTCCCACAGTTGCTGGCGCCATTTAGTTTTGTGGTTAATGGATGAGAATGGGAATTACAATTTTATTCTTCAGGCTACATTTCCCTAGAGACTTTCAACAGACCACAGATCCCTAGAAATTCCTTGGGACAGTAGAGCAAATGATTAAGTAAGCCTTGTGTAGGTTTCTCCCCAGAAATGCTGCATCTAACTCCTTTTGCAAAGACTATTTTTGTTGTTATAACTTTTTACCACACAAGCATATGAGATCCTGATAATGGAACATAAAAGTAGCTGTAGCCTCAGGGTTTTCCCATGTTTCTCTTCCTCATTAGTAAACAGGGAATATAAAGCAGGCTTCCTTTGTCTACCCTGTGATCAAGCCACACAGACTTTTCCAATGGCTTCATAAGGCTGGACCATAAGAAAGGCTGAGCACCAAAGAATTGGGGCCTTTGAACTCTGGTGCTGGAGAAGACTCCTGAGAATCCCTTTGACTGCAAGGTCAGTCCTAGAGGAGATCAACCCTGACTGCTCTTTAGGAGGCCCGATCCTGAAGATGAAACTCAAATACTTTGGCTACCTAATGAGAAAGAAGGACTCACTGGAGAAGAGCCTAATGCTGGGAATGATGGAGGGCAAAAGAAGAAGAATGAGTGGCTGGATGGAGTCACCAAAGCAGTAGGCATGAGCTTAAATGGATTCCAGAGGATGGTAGAGGACAGGAAGGCCTGGTGGAACGTCGTCCATGGGGTCTTGATGGGTCGGACACGACTTTGCAACTAACAACAAAAACAAAACAATGGCTTCATATTTTTCATTTTACTATAATACTAGCTAAAGTCAGTAGGGAGAGAGGTATCAGCCCTTCCAGACAGGCCAGGTCAAGAAACAGAAGCAGCAGGCAGGGATTCTAAGAATGTTGCTTTATTGTTGTGGGTCCCAATAACAGAATCTTGAAAGCTGGTCAGAGTTTCTCTCTATCCCATCTTATGTTGGAGAAAATCAAGGCAGGGTTATTTTGACTTTCTTTCTCACCTGTGCTTCAATTGCTGAACTGTGTATTGCATGTCCCAAGTCCCTGCATAACTGGCTCGTCATACCTTCTTCAAGATCAGCTCTGAATTCCTTTTCTTCCCCACCCCTATCAGAACGCACCTCCCCTCCCTTGTAGGAAGATGAGCCAGACAGGTTGTTATGGGCGGAGATGAGAATCCCTCCTTCCCTTATCTGAAGATGGGCCTGGCATCTTACCAAGATCAGTGGACAAGTCACCGAAGAGTCAACTGTAAAATTCCCCCACTTGTCTTCCTGCAAATAATACAGGGGAGCTTATCCTGGGAATTGGCAAGGAGTCTCCTTCATCTCTGGCTCTATTCTCTATTAATAGCAACAGCAGGTCACAAGGACAGAACTTGTACAGGAAT